GCCGTGCGTCGTGCGGTGACGGGCACGGCAGCAAAGACGAGATCTCATCTAGTTGCTCGCTGGCCGTATCTCAGTCGAGTGCACGATAAGGCTGTCGGCACTCGAATGCGAGAGGGCAGCTTAAGCGGTACTGGCGAGGACGGGATCTGCAGATACCGAGCTATCCACGGGTCAACACAAGTGCTTGCCGAGGCGGTTCTGACATATCCTCGCGAACCCGAGCTTGACTGACGGAGAATACAGCATCACAGCAGCAGCGAGCTGAAGAAAAAGGAAGCAGAATTGATGAGGTGGGTGATCCTTTTCTGTCTTTTTTTTCTTTCCTCGTGTCATTTCAGCCTCCGCCGAGCGGAAACGGTTGGATTGAAATTCAGAAAAGCAAAAATCATCAAAATGCCTGACGGTGGGAGCTACGACGGCGTTTGCTTTCCGCCGATGGACGAGGAGTGCCGTCATCATCGGTCGAGTGCGGCAACGCGCCATCTGGGCAGTCTTTGTGGATCCCGTTCAAGGCGCCGTGTGCGGGCGAAACCCACTCCTATGCGGCGACCAGGCGCATTCGACTCCGCCCACTTGCAGCCGCTCTTGGCTTGACTTGGGCCCTGTCCGGCACCAGCGCTCCGTTCTGTCGAGCCGCTCGGCGTGTGCATTCCTGCAAAGCGTCGGTCTTGCCTCGCCCGTCTGCACAATTGCGCGCGAAACGGCAGTGGAACACGCTCGTCGCTTGCCGAGCGCGTGGCCGAAGTCCAGTACCGTTTAAACTACGTCGGTGTCCCAGTGGATGGTCAGCTTCCACAGACACTGCGTCGCCTAGCTTTTTTTCAGCTCAGCGCCGGCTGCCCTTGTCCAGCGGCGGTTATAATGTCATCGGTGGATGTGGGTCCGAGGCCCATGCCGCCCTCCTCAGCATTTCTCTCTCTCTCTCTCCGCTGCTTGTTCTCTTGGTTTCCGTCACGTCGTCCTCGAACTTGGCTATATCGCTATCCCAACCAACTCTCTCGCTACGCTCCCGACTTTCAGCACCTCCCATCCCCGCCGGCCCAACCCTGACTCCGCAGAGTGAGCTTCACGCATCGAAAGGCGGCCACCACAAAGCTTCCGCAGCAATTTTTTCGCGAGGTCACCGGATAGCACCCGCATTGGCACATCCTACTATCCCATACCTAGTTTCACCGCTTCGCAGAGGTGAAACAGCATGGCAGCTGTGATCATGTCGCAGCACACAGCCGCACCCAGCGCGAGCGCAGGATACCCGGCGTATCTGGGCTCTTCATCGTCGTCGTCGTCNCCGCTTCGCAGAGGTGAAACAGCATGGCAGCTGTGATCATGTCGCAGCACACAGCCGCACCCAGCGCGAGCGCAGGATACCCGGCGTATCTGGGCTCTTCATCGTCGTCGTCGTCGTCTTCTTCCGAATCATCGTGCTGCTACGCTTCGTCCTCCTCGTCGCCATCCTCGACACCTCCGCCTCTGGCGTCTGCACCGGCAGCAGCGCTGCAAGCAGCGACGATGGCGTACACGCATCCGCCCGAGGAATCGTTGCCGTTCGTTGTGCTCGTTGTGGACGACAACGCGATCAATCGCAAGGTGCTTACCATCCCGCTGCGCAAGCAAGGGATCCAGGTGGTCGAGGCCGAGAATGGGCTCGAGGCGGTTCAGATGTACGCGCAGGTGCGACCGGCGCTCGTACTGATGGACATCTCGATGCCTGTCATGGACGGATTCGAAGCGACACGGCAGATCCGCATGCACGAGCAAGCGCAATCGGCAACCATGCCCGACATTGACGGCGAAGGAGCAGGAGTGGACGAAGTGGTCAACATGCTCCTCACGCATCAGCGCGCGCGCATCGTAGCGGCGACAACGCACTCGGCGGATCGCGACTTTGCCGAAGGCAAGGATGCAGGCATGGACGACTGGCTCCTCAAACCCATCCGCCCCAGCACGCTTGTCAAAGACATCCTCGAGTTTAGGCGAAACCACCTGCAGGACTTTGCTGCTACTCTGGCCGCACTTGCGACCGCACCTGTCAGCATGGCCGCCGGCGAAACGGCGATGGAAATGGTGCTGGACCAGGCATCAACACCAACAGCCACAGCAGCCGCTTTGGCAGCATAGATTGGCCCACAAGTCGCCTCCACTCAACTTTCCGCTCCTTCGCATCGCATTCGCATATTCCCATCTTCACGTTCTTTCCCCAGCCATGGCCTATCCATCCCATCGAGCACGTCTAGCGCTTGGCTGGCACAGAAGACTCCAGCATAATCTTTGTCGTCCTGCTTCCTACGCCTGTACTTGTACCGTCACTCTATCTTTTGGCTGCTCTTTCTGGCCTGCAAAACATGCTCTTTCTAGTCATGCCTTGCTGCTGCATGTGCCATGCCATGCTGTGCTTGTTGAGCTGGTTCGTTCGTGTGCTCGCGCCGAAGCGAAGAGGGTAGATTACGATGTTACGAAGAAATGGCGTGCAAAGGACTGGACAGTGACGAAAAGAGGCGTGCGGATGGGCGAATTAGTTCCCGATGCTCCAGCTAGAACGTGCGCGGGGTAGTGGATGAATGGAAGGATTGGAGCGTTAGGCGTTGAAACGGAGGATAAAGTTGACGAGCACGGCAATGAGCAGCATGACCGAGAGGACGGTGGGGCCGAAGCGGTCGTCGTACGGGCCCGATCCGCGGTTGCGGATGGCGCTCGCTCGCCAGTGGTACGTCAACAATGCGTAGATCATGATAGCCATGGCTGTGGAAGTGAGATCGAGTGGTAGAGGTGGGGTCGGGTCAGCATACGAGCCAGGCGTGGACGCCGAGGCGAGATGACGTTGCAGAGACTCACCAACAAAGGAGAACATGGCAGCCGAGATGCGGCCGATCTTGTCACCGAAGTTGAGCAGACCGGCTGCGAGCGCCGAGAGGGTGACGGTGAAGTTGAGCCATGACAAGACTGTTCGAAGCGAGGGCAAGAAGAAAGGCAAGACGGTCGGTGTCAGCTTGCTGCAGGTGTGTGGTGGTGCAGGCGGTATGAAGGCGAAACGTACATGTTCGCTCGTTGGCGAAGAAGACTTTTGGCTCGACACGGACGGGGAGCGCGATACGCTTGCCGGCCGTGCGTTGGAGAAGAGGCTGGGTGGACATTATGAGCGACGGCGAGGGACGATGCAGTCAAAAGATCGGACTTGAAGAGCGGCTAGTGTTGCTTTTGATGCGTGTTCGGCAGTGCTTGACCAGGGATGCGATGAGGCTGGACGCACGGATGCGTGTGTATGGCGCCGATGGAGGCAAGCTGCGCGAGATGCTTGGTGGATAGGGTGATGGCGAAAGGCAGAAGGAGGTGGTGATGGGAGGCAAGGCCACGCCTCGACCGTGCATTCTAGCCGATGCGCATCGAAGCGGATCGGATGCCACTCTGTTCAGCGGCTCCAAATTCGTCGATTCTGTGGGCTTTGGGCCCAAAATCTGTGGAATTTCCACCGGTGCTTTCACAGCAACCGTCGTATCCACTTTGAAGCCAGCTTGTCCTTCCTGGCGATACGAGAATGATTCCAGAAGAACGCCGTAGCCGACTGGCGATCCCCATTCAGTCGAACATCATCCTTCTCCCGGGAGATGCTGGACGCAGCGCCATCCCGCGGCGGATTCCCCGTTGGGCCAAAAGAGGCGGTCGAGCAGCCGTCAATTTAAATTCGGCGCCTACACGCGCTCACTCCTCCAACCACCCATTGAACTCTGCCCTCACCATCTTCTCTAGACTCACCTTCCGCCTACCCAGCTGGTTGTCTGTCCGCCCTGCCCTCTTCCATACGGTCGAACATGCAGGGCAGCCATAGCATCGTCTCTTTCCGGCCCACCTGAGCTGTCAAGACCCCGAAAGGTTGAGTGCAATCCTCAGGGCAAGCAAGCACCAACAAGGGCGAGGTTAGAGGTTGGCGCCGGCGGAGAATGAACCAAGAGCGCACGTGCGCTCTATCGTGCATATACTCGCAAGGACAAATTCGAGTTCAACAGTGGGGCTGCGATGCCTCGCTTTTTCGGCCGATAGATTGTCACACTACCCGGCTTCTCACCAGAGTCACACGAGCATGGCATCCAGCTCGTTCGGCTCTTCGGACACAGCAAGCCTCTTCATGTCTGCAACGCGAGAACGCACCGGCATGGATTGAAAGTGCATTGTGGGAACGGCAATCATGTACACAAACTTTGACCCCGAGGGCCGAGGTGAGCAGAGTCGCACAACCTGACGGCTCGGCATCAAGGTTCCTATTGCGACTGGGTGGTTGCCCAACGAGGCGACTGTACAGCATCTACTCGTCCTTCTTGTCCGAGTCCTTCTTGTCCTTGTCGTCGCCTCCCTTGCTCGCCTCTTCCTTCTTCTTCTTTTCCTCCTCCTCCTTCTTCTTCCTCTCCTCCTCCTCCTGCTCCTTGCGCTCCTCCTCTTTCCTCTTGGGGTTGCCCACGACGACGTAGCTGTCGCCCTCGGCGCCTGCGCTAGTCGCCTCGACATCGCCGCCCACTTCGGTGTGCTTGATGACGCCGCCCTTGTTGCCCTGTGCGCTCTGCTTGAGCAGCTTCATCTTGGTGGGAGCGTCCGCCTTGACCTCGTCCGCCAGCTTGGACGCCGTGCCGCCAAGCGTGCTCCTGCTGCCGGGCGCGTAGTAGTTGGTGCCTGCCAGCGTAGCGATGATGCTGGTGCCCACGGCCAGCGTCAGCCAGAAGCGGTAGGTGGAGTACCACTTGGGCACCCATCCAGCGCTAGTAGCGCGCAGGTCGATGAACCAGGCCACCACGAATGACGCCCACTGGCCAATGAGAGCCAGCTGTGGCGCGAGCAGCGTGGTCGGCCAGCCGAGCACCAGAGGCAGTACACCGATTGCGTAACGAGTGTTGCCGATGCGTCCGCCGTACTTGCTGAATTCGAAGCCCCAGTGCATCGCACCCAGGAACGAGAGCAGCACTGCACCGTAGCCCACCTGGATGTTCTGGGCGTGCAGCAGCAGAGCGCTTGCCGTCTCGGCGTCCATCGACTTGTCCAGCCCGAGGTTGACGAGATGCTCCTTGCGCGCCAGCCAGATCGATGCGCCCGCCGTGCTCACGTACGGGATCAGACCCGCAACGCCCCACAGCAGCGCTGGCTGCGGCACCACCTGCGCCATCTCACCCGTGATGCTCTTGGCATCCTTGAGGATCTCGGACGCACCCGACGCTCCTCCGCCGCCAGCGCTCGTCTGGGCACCTGTGCCCTCGCCGCCCTCGCCGCCCTTGCCGCCGCCGGCGATGGTCGATTCGATGCTCGAGCGGATCGAGGCAGCCTCCTCCTTGATGTTCTGCTTGGTGTGCGACCACGAGTCCGAGGCAGGCTTGCCCGACTGAGGGTTGGCGGCATATCGCTGCAGCGATGTGTGCAACGCACGAAGTTGCACTGGTGCCAGCATCGATCTGCGTGCAGCCAGCGTCGAGGCACCAGCGAGGGACATCGCCGACCTCTGCGCCTTGAGGCCAGACGAGAAAAGGCTGCGCGAAGCAGCGGTACCGATCATGTTGACGAAACGCTTCGGCCAGGAAAGATGGATCTGCTTGATGTAAAAGTGAATGCCGCTTGACTCGGTATCGGCGTAGCTCAACAAGCCCTCTAAGTCGACTCGGAGGGCAAAGAAGATGAGGGGTTGGTGGTGAGAGGCAGAAGGTAGGCGCCAGTCATGACGCCCTTCTCCGATCCACTGGCCCGTGACCAGGTTGGCCCGAACTCCAAGTGGAGGGTCGGCACTTTTCGACGGCCCAGCAACACCAGAGCGCCAGTCGACGTGTGCGGCGTTTCGGGCTGCGGCTCGGGAGCACGAGGCGATGTGCCCTTCGAATCGACCAAACGCTCTTCCAACCAACGCTCTTGCTCGTCTTTTTCTCTATCTCACACAGGCGCTATTTCTGAGTGCCATCTCGTGTTGCATGCCGTTCCATCCGTCCTCCGGTCAGTCCAACTTCATGCATAGCCGTTATTCCATACCACTCTCTGGGCAAGCCAACACCGCAATTGCAAGAGAAGTGGGAGGTCCTACGATACTTTGGCTCCGAAGGGGAAGCTGGACAGGCCGTGATGGGATCGACGTGAGCTCGTAGCCAAGCCATTCCCGCAGACGCCCGTCGCACGACCAGGAACGAGCAGAGGCACAGATGACTGACAATACGTCACTCCACATGGACGCCATGTCACAAGGAGTTCGCAACACGGACCACCGTCCGTGCGGTCAATACGCAATTTTATGTGCGTATTGTGCCCTAACATGTTCTAAGCTTGTCGCCATCGGAACAGACCCGATGCCGTAGCGCTGAAAAGCCCGATTAACTCAGATTCTCCACATTTGGTAACCCGACTTCTCTACCCGGCTCGGGGACTTTTTCGGTTGGACATCACCTGCCCACCCAAGGGTGAAACCTCCATCATCACCATCGCGACTGCAGCAGCTTCATCGAAAAGCAGAGGATACTCTCTGCAATTATCTGGATCGGTCCGCGCTGACATTTCGCCGCACTCGAGGTCTAAGAAACAATGTCGAAACGAATGCCAAGCTTTGTCGATCTGGCGCATCGAACCGCAGTGACCGGTCTCGTGGGTCTGGGCGTAAGTATGCGCTGCAGAAGCGCAGCTAGCCGCATATACAGCTGCCACCGGCCGCTCTGTGCACATGCTCCTCACTGACACGCTGGATTTGCTTTGCTGTACATGGCCCTCGCGCTGATCGTATCGACTGTTGCAGATCTGGGGACTCTGGCTTACAGCTGCTGTATGGAAGTCTCGTCGCGATGAACGATTGGTAAGTGCTGTCTTCATGGCAATCACGCTATCAGAACGCATAGGAGAGGACTGACATGCTTCACGCTGCTTCGGCTTTCTCGACTTGCGCAGATCATCGCGTCCAACGGCGGCCAAATCCCGATCTCGCAACAGGCGCTCGCACTCTCGCAGCAGCAGAACGGCCAAGATCCATTCCCAATCACAAACGACCCAAAGCACGAGCCGGGTCGTCGCGTATAAGTCGAGCTGCCCTGTATACCTGCGTGCACACCGCCACTCCCGCTCGCAATCTGAAGTGATACAGGCATCTGAACCCCAGCATCGCTCCCGTGGACACTGTGGCGAATTGCATAGCATATGCGCTCGGGGCTGATTTCGCCTTCTCCTATTCGAGATCTAGGTCGATTTGGATGAGACGGAGGTTGCTGGGCTCCTCGCCGAACCTGAGCACACGCTGAGGCAGCGCCTCGCCTGTCTTCGCGGCGAAAGGCTCTGACAGCAACAAGGTGATAGCGACATCATCCAATCTCCAAACAATGCGAGTAAGAGCGTGATCGTGTTGCTGAGCATGGACTGGATGACCCTTGCTTCCCCACTTGTTCTCGATCCAACGACGAAGCACGTTGGAAGAGGGGGAGGGAGCAAGTTTTGGTTGAAATGCAAATGTTGCGAGAGGTCGGGATGTGGGCGGTGGCCGAAATCCGAAATCTGAACGCGGTGGAGAAGTCAAGGAGCACCTCTCTTCTGGCCATCATCGCATCCTGCACACCACACCCTATACCCTGCATCGCACCATGAGCGCGCCATCCACCTCGAAAGCCAACGGAGGCAACGGAGCGACGAGCAGCAAGGCGGCGCCATCGCCCACGCTCTACGTCAAGAACATCGAGGGCAAGATCAAGAAGCCTGGTAAGTTGTCTTTTCACGCATCCTCGCATGCTTTCTCTCTGACCGTCTTGTTTGTTCCCTGATTAGAACTGCGTCGGCAATTGTACTCGCTCTTCTCCGCATATGGGCGCGTGCTGGACGTAGTGGCGACCCGTGCACCCGGGATGCGGGGCCAGGCGTTCGTCGTGTTCGAAAACCCCACCACGTCGACGGCGGCCAAACGCGCACTGCACTCGTTCGTCTTCTACGGCAAGGAGCTGCACATCGACTATGCGACGGGTGCCAAATCCAGAGCCATCCTGCGCCGCGAGATCGGCCACGATGCTGTGCACGAGATGGATCTCGAACGAAGCAAGACCACCGTCAGTCGGCGTGGCGAGAAACGCACGGTCGAATCCAAACCCGACTCGGACGACGAAGAGGACGCAGGGAGGAAACGTGCAAAGCTCGACGACGCAGATGAAAAGGTGGTCAAGGCCCTCGATGTACCAGAAGCTATCGAGGTCGGCGTATTGCAGGCTCTGTTTGCAAGACAGGAGGGCTATGTAGAGGTGACGGTGTCGGAGCAAAAGGCGGGGACGTGGACGGCAAAGGTAGAATTCGAGGATGCGCAAAAGGCTCGCGCCGCAAAGGACGCTCTCAACAACATCCAGCTCGATCCAACGTACTCACTCGCCCTCGTCACGCAATGATGTCGACGCCATGCAATTCGCACTGGATTGGTTTCCCCGGTGTGCGTGCCGAGCTTTCGGATCCCAGACTTGATTCACCATGCGCTCCGTCGTTTGACTTTGTCACCTCGCGTCCCGCTCACGTGTGCAAAAGCGCCACTCGCGATCTGCAACCGCCTCCCGAAAGTCTTGCGCATTCGGCTGCAGCGTTCGGCAATTGTCACCCAAGTTCACTCTGCAATCCGTGCTTCTGTCTCGCATTGTCACAAGCACACGCACCACCAGATTCAATCAAACCCAGAGATTGTGCATTGCAAGAGCGACCAGATCTACCCGAAACGGAAGCGCTGTGGATCTAGTGGTCGATGATGGCGAGGTTGCCCGAGATGAGCTTGTTCTCGAGCACCGATCCCTCGGGGATCTCGATCTTGTTGCCCTCGTTTGCGACAATGATGACGGTGCCGCGGAGGGTGATGTTGCGGCCGAACACGACGTCGCCCTGCACGGTAAGGTGGTCGAGCTCGATCATCTCGGGGATCGACTTGAACCTCTTCTGGAACTGCGCCACCTTCTTGAACGTGTCGCCGAGCTTGACCACGGGCGTCTGCGAGAACATGCGGCCTGGGTTCATGAGCAGCTTGCCGTGCTCGAGCGAGTAGAGGTCCGAGGTGATGAGCAGCAGATCCGAGCACGACTTGACGGGCAGGAAGCGCGAGCGCGGCACGTTTACACCCTTGGCGCCACGGAAGTGCTTGATCGCAGCACCGACAGCGGTCTCGAGCTGGATGACGGCCTCGCCCGAGTCGAGCGCCTTGTTGTTGACAATGATCTCGAGGTCGAGCTCCTCGTTCTCGAGCACGCGCTTGACGGCGCGCAGGTTGAGCCAGAGGTTGTTGGTGTTGAAGATCTTGAACTTCTTGATCGACTTGAAGTCCTCGACGTGCTCCGAGGGCACCTGGGCGATCTCGAGCAGACGGATGGTGCCCTCGTAGTCGATGAGCGTACCACCCTTGACGTCCGCCTTGGTCTTGTCGGTGACCTCCGAGATGAACTCGGCCTGGGTGTCGATCATGTGCTGGTAGATGTTGAGGTCGACGTCTGCGCCGAGGTTGTCGACGTTGGAGACGAAGAGGTACTCCTTGCCGGCGGCGATGAGGCGGTCGAGGAGGCCGGAGTTGTTCATGGCGTCAAAGAGATCGCCGTGACCGGGAGGGTACCAGAGGTTCTTGTTGTCCGTGGCGGAGCGCGGGCAGGGGAGGAGCGACTCCTTGTTGACGCGCGGGTATCGGGACTGGTTGAAGGTGAGGATCTCGACGTTGTGGTTTGCGTACTTCTGGATGACGCGTGCAGTGTCATCATCGGTGTTGAAGGAGTTCATGAGGATGAAGGGGACGTTGACGTTGTGGGAGCTGTTGAGGTGCTCGATCTGGCGCACCGAGAGGTCGAGGAAAGTCATGCCCTCACGCACCTCGATGACCGACTTGGGACCGGTGCAGCCCATGGTGGTGCCGAGACCACCGTTCAGCTTGAGCACGGCGAGCTTGTTGAGGATCGAGGGGTCGGTGGCCTTGCGGAGCTCGGCGTAGGGGGTGATCTGCTCGGGCGATGGGGGCTGGATCTTGTCCCAGACACTGTTAGAAATGGCAATTCGAGTCAGCCGGGATGCCATGGAGGGTCTTTCTGCGTCTGTTCGCCCTGCGGAGCTCCAGCGCGCCAGTGATTCCGGCGTACCGCTGGAAGCTCGACCGGACCAGACTGACAGCTACTTACAGCTTCTCGCCCTTGGCCTTCTCGGCCAGGTATCGGTTGAAGAGGTTGAAGAAGTTGGACATCTCGGCGTCGAAAGCCTGCCAGCACAAGATCGCAGAGGAGTCGAGTGTCAGTTACCGTGTCGTGTCTGTGATGCGATTACTACAGTCGCTCGCGCTGGTCCGCTCGTCCGCGGTCTGTGTAGAAGCGTCCTTGGCGAGCGAGTGCAGTTTCAACGAGTACGCACCTTGCGAACGGCAGGGTCATCGATGCCCGAAACGAGCGCGTTGAGCTCGTTGCGCATGGCCTTGGCAGCTACGCCGGTGGTGGCCGACTTGAAGTCCTGTTTGTGGGCGGCGCAGGCGAAAGGACAACGTCGTGCAAGTCAAGTCAGCGGATGTTCGACCATGCATGGGGCTGCTAGCTGACACACTTACGATGTGGGAGGCACCGCGGGTGCGGGAGGCCTTGATCTGGGCGCCATTGTTGGGCGTGGAGAGGGTTGCGTTGGACGACATTGTGGAGAGTGCGACCAGAGAACGACGGTTGGAGGGTGACAGTGGGTGGTGGGGGAAGGAAAGATGGGCTGGAAGAAGTGCAGCTGGACTATATTCACTCCCGGGGACTTGACTTCACGCTAGTCGATGGTGGCGATGCGATGTGATGCGGTGCGCGATGCGGCCCGCGGCTGTTTTTTGGGACGGAGGGCGACGGAGGGCACGCACGTCCGCACACCCGCACGCATGCTGCTGCTCCTGCCCATCAGCTGCGCCGACTGACCGACCGACCGGCGAGGCGCACTGTCGGAGCAGGTTCCAGGCCGCCGAATCGAACTGCACAGCGAGGGTGCAGCGAGTGTTGCTCTGCTCTGCTCTGGTCTGCTCTGCGTGGCGCGTGCGTGCGTCTGGACATTTGGGCGTGGGCAGTCCAGTTGCTGTGGGCCTTCTCGCACTGACCAAATTCGAACCCGCGCCACCCTGGCGGAAAAGGCTCAGCGCAGGTGCCCGAGCCACCGCCGCTTCCGGCACCTCTTGGGGAATTTTGGGAATTTTTGGAATTTTTGGAATTTTTGGAATCTCCTTCTTGCCACCTCGCCTCGGCCTGGCGTCGGGAGGCTGCGAGAATTGCGCACGCCGCCAATCCTCCGCAACGTCGCACGTCGAGGTCCAATCATTTCTCGCCACCTCCCATGCGCGCTCCCCTGAGACTATGCTTGTCAGTCCATTGTAGCTTCTGCGCCCGTGTGCAACCGAATGAGTGCGCACACGCACATCCTTTGCTTCGGAATCCTTCTAGCATCTTGTGATGGCCATTGGATTCCGGAAGAGTCAGGCACAGCAGCGCAAAGACTGGCTTGGCTGCGTGTAAGTTTCAGTTGGGCCGTGTCGCGAGGGGAACGCCAGAGACCTTGTTTGGCTCACCGGCGAGCAGCGGCCATTTTTCGTGCCTTGGTCGCATTTCCGAGCGCCAAACCAAAATACAGAATAATAATATTTAAAATGCACTCTCCCGCCCTTTGCCCGTGGCTGCAGCGCCAGTTTTTGTTCGCAAAACTCGCTTGTGTTGGTTCGAACGTGCGCCTGGCCGCTCCCTCCTAATCGATACAAGCGCCCACGCCTAGCCGTCCAAAACGGCGCTTGCTCGGTCCGGCGATGGACAAGGCCCCGATCGCAATCGTTTCCCGCTCAGCTGGCCTTGCTGCACCGTGAAGATCCCTGCAGCTGCTCTTCGCCGCCCACATCGTTCAGACGCACAGAACCTAAACTTTGGGCCCCAGGGTCGCGTTCCGACCCGCAAATCGTGTGGCAGGTTGCCCCGCCAAACCCTCGCCAGAGCCAAGGAATTGTCGTCTGAGCTCCGGGGCCAATCGATCGGATTCGTGTATGACAAAGATGCGCGCTGGGTCCCAGACTGACAAGAAGCACGGAATGCGATGCGGACGATGCGATGTTGGAACGACAAAAGCGAGAGTGGCCAACCCTATCCACGTGGCCGAGTGTGGTGTAGCTGCCCCTAGGCCAGGCGCGTGAGGCTACCCGACTGCATCCTTGCGCCTACCGGAGCCTCAGTGTCGGAGCCAGGCTCGCTGAGTCCGGCCCAGCTGTCGCTGTCACCGGCATCGCTGTGCGCAGGCGATAGCGCTGCCTCCCGACGCACCGTGACGTTGAGCGCCTCGCTCGCGCTCGAGATCGTCGGGCTCGGCGGCGCATCCAGATGCGACCAGCGCGCTTCCGACTCCGCCGTGTCGCTGATCACCTCAAAGTCGGGCTCGCTCCTGTCTGATCTCGAACCCGCACCTGAGCCCTCACTCGGTTCAGCAAGCGCACGGTTCGAGCGGTACGGAGACGACCCGACGCTGCTCATGCCGTCATGGCGAGGTGCTCCAAGGTGTTGCTCGGAGAGTGTCTGCGAGAGGCCATTGGTGTCGAGCTCCACATGGCCTTCCTCGCTCGAGTGGCCGCGCACAGATGGATATTCGATGACAGACACCTCATCATCGGTGTTGCGGCGAGAAAGGGCGGCACTGCGATTGTCAAAGACCGCGTGCCACGATGAGGCGGTGTCATCAACGATGTCTGCAAAAGGATCGCGCTGTGATGGTGCCGAGTCTTGATGCGGCTCGGATGGAGCAGGGTCCAGCGAGGGCGGAGTGTCAGGCCGGCTGAAATCCAGACCCAGAAGGCCGTTCTTGGCCGCGTCGTTTTCGGCGGCGTCTTCTGCGAGAGCTTCGCGTGGCTCGGTTTTGATCGCACGGCCTCTGACCGAGTTGAAGCGCGAATCGCCGGCGTCGGCCAGCGAGGCCGTATCTCCGATGCTGGGCGAAGCGTTGCCCAGCTTGTGATGCGGCAGCTCGGGTGAGGCTGTAATACGCACCTCGTCAACAGCTGTAGTGGTGGCGTTCTCGTCTTGAGCGACACCGCTCGCACCATCAGCCGTCGATCTGCGTCGCCTTCTGAGCCCGTCGCTGCTGTGATGAGGATTCGAGCCGGAAGCTTGCATCATCGAAGCGCGTAGCTGGTCGCGATAGGCCGACGCCTCGCGCTCGTGCATCTCGAACTCATGCTGCGATCTCTCGCTGCTCGCCTCCTCGCCCACGCCTCTGCGGAAGTCATCGAGCTCGTCGTCGTTCAGCCGAGTATGGCCGTCGTCGCCTCGTCGTCGCTCGTCTCTGCGCGTGCGGAAGTCGCGCTGGATCTCGTTGACGGCCTGCTCCACCTCTTGACGCAGCTTGAAGAACTCGTTCCGGACGCCGTGTGCGAAGCCGTGCGGCCAGTTTTCATTCCGCCATGGCCGAAAAACAGCAAGCTCGAAGGCGACGACTGCACCGACGCCTGCACTAGCCGCAGTAGCAAGCACCAGCGGATGCACCATCAGGGTTTTCGCTTTCCACGTCGGCAGACGGATCTATCGAAGCTGTGCGCGGCCGGGGCGACAACGGCAGCTGGTCCAGGAAAGAGTGCGTACAGTCGAGCTGCTGGTCAAGTGCTCGTGGTGTGGCGAGGTTGCTGGTCGTTGTTGCTGTGAAGGATAGTGGAAAAGCCAACTTACTGCGGGGTAGCTGCATCGCTGCGCAACTGAGCGGGAGCCGGGCGAGCGGCAGGCTGAGCCAAGGCGGTGCATGGGCGCCGAGTTGGAGAGCCTCTTTTTTCCGCGCGCAGAGCAGAACCCTGCATGAGCTGTGCGGAGGATGTCTGCGCAAGGGCCGCCGACTCTTTTTTCCTTTGCGAGAGTTGGTCCTGTTAGAGCTTGACTCAAATAGGGGTCCCGAAACGCCGCTCTCAGGCGTGAGACTCGGAACCTTGCCATGTGCGCCTCAGCTCAGCTCTACACCTCGGCCGGATGATACTCAGGCGATGGCAGACGCGAGACCGCTCGCAGAGAGACATGGCTGCTGCGAGCAACACACGAGACCAAGTCAAGCTAGCAAGCTGTTGGAGGACTGATCGAATATGTTGTGTGATTGCGAACGATATGCTCGGTTCTGTAGGATATGCGTGGCTCACTTCTTCCAGAGACCCATGAGTTCCTTTTGAAGGTCTCGCGCACGCCTCTCCTTCTCCAGGCTCTGGGTGCTGCGAAGCTGACCGACGACGTCTCTGGTCTTGCCAAAGTAGACCTCCTGGAGCTGGTTGCGCATCTTGGCCTCCATGTCCTCGATCATGCGGCCGACGTTGGCGACGTGCGAGACAAAGTCGGGCAGCGCATAGTCTGCCTCGGACTGGCGTGTGAGACTGCCGGCGATCTCGACGGTGCCGACACGCGTGGACGTGGCTTTTGCGTCTGCCGCATCGCCGCCCTCGTCGCGACGCACGAGGCTGAGCATGACGGTCGAGGTGAGCTTGTAGCTCGCACTGGCGCCAGTGGCTGCCGACGGCGATCTCGAGCTGCCACTCGCGCGTTCTGTCGCCTCAAACACGTGGATCGAGTCCCATGCGCCCGCGACGCCGTTGCCACCGTCTTGTCCGATCGCTAGTCCGAGATAAGAGCCGAAGTGGAGAAAGGCAAAGATCAGCATCTGGATTCTCGCTGAGACATGCGGCCGCTCCTACTTACTCTTTTTGAGCAACACCACACCAGCAAAGGTGGAAGGTGCCTGGGTGCCGCCGACGGCAGCCGAGGCGAGCGAGCTTGGTTCGCTTTCGAGGTCCCACAGATACACGCTCGACAGCGCGTTCTCGTAATAGAGCTTGGCGTACGTTTCAAAGGCATCGTTGAACTTGAGCTCGAGCGATCGAAGCGAAGCGCTGGGCCGGGTGCCTGGCTCTCCGTCGACCGATTCATCCGCATCAGCCGAGATGGGCGGATGGCAGGTATCCGAGATCCACGAGCGCCAGCTGTCGCCATCCTTGTTGTAGTCGCAGCACAGGAACTCGCGGCCAGCACCTTGCTTGGAGTCGTCAATCTTGACCCGCAGCGGCTGGTCGACCGACGAGTAGAGGTCATCGGCATACGAAGGGATGAGCTTGACGATCGACTCGAGGTTGGCCTCCACCTTGGACGGCGGGAGGCGCCGCAGCAGATCGAGCGAGAGGTCGAGCGGATCGGTCATGATTGCTTCGGCGCGTTTGCTCTGCCTGGAGGGTAGGATGAAGAGATGCAAGTGTTGTGGTGTTGCGTGTGCGGGCGACTCCACTTTGCCCTCCAACCGTCACGTCTCCACGCTTCCTCGAACGGGACCGTGCGAGACAGCTGCTCTGAGAGGCTTAACAACCTCAAGAATGGAACGTGGGTCAGATGTTAGACCCTAACATGGCGCCTGGATCCTTTGAAAAACAAAAAAACACCCTCGCTGTTGGATTTTGGCGGGCTGTCGAGGATTGATTTGCCCCGCGCCAGCCAGCGCGCCAACAGCCGTTGAGCACGCCATAGTCGGCGCTGATGATGTGGACGTGGTGGAGGCAGATGGAAGCTGCAGCCTGCGTCCTTGTGCAGCTCAGATGGCCATGGCTGCTTGGCTGGCCCCGCGCCTTGGTATCGGTGCACAATCTGGCCGGTGAATCCCCCCCACGCTGCAACCTGCGCTCACACTCCTGAGAAGCCAAGGAGGTTGACGGACCCTCGACCCTGTTGGATGAGGTGCAGCACAGACCAGTTTCAAGAAGATCTCATGCAAGAGCAGCGGCTGCCTCGCGCTCGCGCTATTTGGCTGAGACAAGGTGCTATCCTCACATCGCTGTTCGCCAGCCGAGGTCGGCGCTGTCCCAGCACTGGCTCACTCTTCGTTGGCTCCCTCTTCGTCGGCTTTGCATATCGAGCACGCCACGCCCGCAAAGGAGCCCACTCCAGCTCGACTGCCGGTACCGTGCTTTCAGGAAGGAGTCAGAAAAAAAAAAAGGTGAGGAGACGCTCGCCATGTCTGTGTGTGAGCAAGACGAGAGAGGCGGCACCTGGCCGCCGAATCATGAGCTTCCGCTCCTCGTCGGGCCCCGTCTCACACCGGTTGGTAGAACGTGGCCGCCCATCCGTTGGGCCGCACAGGGCACTGTCCAATATATACACGCCGGTCACTGCCGTCCTTCCTGGGAGCGCTCTACCACCTCTCTTACTGTCGCCTCGTCCGACTCTTTCTTGCTTCTTCTTCTGTTCCCCCTCCCCTTCTCTCTTTACAACAAGAAATTCGTCGACCATGTCGCACTTTGACACGCTTCAGCTCCACGCCGGTCAGGAGGTGGACCCGGCCACCAACGCGCTCGCCGTGCCCATCTACGCCAACTCGTCGTTCGCCTTCAACGACTCGGCACACGGTGCTGACCTCTTCGGTCTGCGCAAGTTCGGCAACATGTAAGTTTGAAATACGCACGAGGAGCAGAGCAGAGACCGGACCGATCCGGCTGACATTGTTGCTCACGCTCTTCCGACGACACAGCTACTCGCGTCTGATGAACCCCACCAACGATGTGTTCGAGAAGCGTATGGCTGCGCTCGAGGGCGGTGCTGCCGCGCTCGCCACCTCGTCCGGCCAGGCCGCGCAGGGTATGGTGGTGATGGGCCTCGCCGGTGCCGGCGACAACATTGTGTCTTCGTCGTACCTGTACGGCGGCACGTACAACGCCTGGGCCAACCTCTTCCCCCGTCTCGGCATCACCACCAAGTTTGTCAAGTCGGAGAAGCCCGAGGACTACGCGGCGGCCATCGATGCCAAGACCAAGGCGATCTACATCGAGTCGATCGCCAACCCCAAGTACATTGTTCACGACATTGCCGCGATCGCCAAGGTGGCTCACGACCACGGCATCCCGCTCGTGGTGGACAACACGTTTGGTGCGGGTGGCTACCTGGTGCGCCCCATCGAGCACGGTGCCGACATTGTGGTGCACTCTGCGACCAAGTGGATCGGCGGCCACGGCACCACCATTGGCGGTGTGATTGTGGACAGCGGCAAGTTTGACTGGAGCAAGAGCGGCAAGTTCCCTCAGTTCACCGAGCCCTCGGCGGGCTACCACGGCCTCAAGTTCTGGGATACGTTTGGCCCCATCACGTTCGCCATCTACCTGCGTGTGGTGATCCTGCGCGACCTGGGCCCGTGCCAGAACCCCTTCGGCTCGTTCCTGCTGCTCCAGGGTCTCGAGACGCTCTCGCTGCGTGTGGGCCGCATTGTGGAGAACGCGCTGTCGCTGGCCAAGTGGCTCGAGCAGCACCCTCAGGTGTCGTGGGTGTCGTACCCGGGTCTGGAAAGCCACCCCTCGCACGAGACGGCCAAGAAGTACCTGCAGCGCGGTTTCGGCGGTGTGCTGTCGTTCGGCATCAAGGGCGACGCGGCGCAGGGCAGCGCCTTCGTCGACAGCCTCAAGCTCGCCACCAACCTGGCCAACGTCGGTGACGCCAAAACGCTGATCATCCACCCTGCAAGCACGACGCACCAGCAGCTTAGCGACGAGGACCAGCTGTCGTCCGGTGTGACCAAGGACCTGATCCGCGTGAGCGTCGGCTACGAGTGGATCGAGGACATCAAGGCCGATTTCACCCAGGCATTTGAGAAGACCTCGGGCGTCAAGGGCGACGTTGGCTCGGGCCAGACCGGTCCCGCCCCCGGCCTTTCGGGCTCTGTGTAAGCCTATTCCCCCTCGAAAGAAGGAGCGTTCAACCCGCTCCGTAATGTTTGTAGCAATGAGTCGCATTCAGTAATATCTGTGTACCTTTCTTTGCATTGCCTGAGTGTGATGATATCGACGAGGGCTTGGTTTGGGCTGCTGATCTCGGCGTTATTTTTGTGCGGGGGAGGCATCGCCAAAAGCGAGACGCGACGGGAAGCTTAGAGCGGTCAACGGCAACAGCGGCAGCGGCAGCGGCGGCGGAAATGGGAAAAGGCGAAAAGGGCTGCTGGCGAAAAACCCCCTTTTGGACGCCAACACGCAGCATTCTTTGCGAATTTGCAGGTTGGCCGGAGGGCGGAGGGCGGAGGAGAGACGCGCGCCCAGCTGAGCCGACTCGAGACAAACACACTCCCACATCCACACACGCACGCAGCCAGCCAGCCAGCCAGCCGTCCACTCTCACACGCACAGGCACGCACCCACGCAGCGCTGCTCTCTCACCCACGCAACCGCCTGCACCCACGCGCCAGCCCCTCCTCGCCTTTGACCTTCACCATCGCTGCGACGTCGTTTTCCCCTTTCCCTTCTTTCTCCCTACGAAGTTTGTGTCTGGATAGGATCGTCAACTTGAAGACGTATCAGAGGCTGGCTCCAACTGCATCCCCCACGCTCCTTTCGCACCGAAACTCGATACCCGGCAACTCGATCCCCCTCTCGCTCTACCCCAGCTTCACACATCTCCACTGCGCCTCGGGTCGATTCTGTCTCTTGCGCGCACACTGCATCGGCCACCTGCCCTTGCCTTACTTCATCTGCTTGGAGCTTCCCAGTCCAGACGAAAGGCACGCAGCGCTTTCGAAGAAATCTGCACAGCATGGGTTCGAGTCTGTCCAAAGCAATGGGCAAGATCTTTGGCAACAAGGAGATGCGTATCCTCATGCTCGGTCTGGACGCAGCAGGCAAGACCACCATCCTGTACAAGCTCAAACTCAACCAGTCCGTCACCACCATCCCCACGGTGGGCTTCAACGTGGAGACGGTCCAATACAAGAACGTCAAGTTCAACGTCTGGGACGTAGGAGGACAGGACAAGATTCGACCTCTCTGGAGACACTACTACACCGGCACCCAAGGTCTCGTCTTCGTCGTTGACTCGCAGGATCGCGATCGAATCGACGAGGCACGCCAGGAACTCCACCGCATCATTGGCGACCGCGAAATGCGAGACTGCTTGCTGCTCGTCTTTGCCAACAAGCAGGACCTGCCCGGCGCCATGAGCCCCGCAGAGGTGACCGAAAAGCTAGGCCTGCATAGGATGCGCGATCGAAGCTGGTTCGTCCACCCCTCGTGCGCCACCTCGGGCGAAGGCCTCTACGAAGGCCTCAGCTGGCTAAGTCAGAACGTCTCGTCCTCCAAGTCCTAACCACCCCGCACCTGGCTCTGAGCTAGTCCGATGTACATATCCACATCTTGCCGCCAAATGCGACACTGTAATACCCTCCACGCCTCAACCTCAGCGAAACAGACCGAGAAAGACCGAGTGAATGCAAAGAAAAAGAGGGTGACATGTCCAGAGGTGCCTAACAATCCAAACGCAACCGGGCGAGCTGATTATGCCCGGTTCGACGCCGCCTCGGAGCTCGATGTGATGCTGGCGCCTGGTGCCAAGTCGGAGCTGCTGGCGCCTCGGCCCAGTCCGAGCCAGTTGGCCCATCCGCGCAGGCTGTAGTCGGCCGCGCCGGCGCCGGCGCCGCTGCCGACGGCCGTGCGGCTGTTGCGCGCCGTGTTCTGACGCAGCATGCGCTCGTACTCGGCCTCGGACAGCCCGCCGCCGTAACCACTGCCGTATGCACCGTAGCCGCTGCCGCCCACGTTGGGGCTCGGTTGGGGCGACGGGTTGGAGTGATTGAGCGGCTGCAGCAAGCCGCGGTCGCTGAGCATGCCCAGCACGGCGTTGGCGATCTGGTGCGTGCGGCCCGAGCCGCGGCGCGCCTGGTGGTGGGATGCAACCGTGCCGCCAAGCGCGCCATGCTCGAGCGCCACCGCATACGACGGCGGCGAGGCGTTGTGCGCCGGTACTGTCGCTGATGACGATGAGGCAGGCGGTGGTAGCGGCTGCGCAGGCGAGGGCGGCGTGGCTGGGAAATACGAGTCCTCGACGCCTGCTCGGCCGTTGGTGCGCGTCGAGGCGTCCGAGAGCGAATGTAAGGAAATGTCGAGGCGATGAGGCGTGGGCGGATTGGGAGGGCTGCCGTCCGAGGAATCGTCCAGCTCGAGCGCACGGCTCGGGCGCAGCGATGAGGTGCGCACGGGAGCGGGCGAGGATGTGGCGGCCGAGTCGTGTGGAAGGCGGTGCTGCGAGGTCGAGGGCGAGCGCTCGTCGTACGGCGAGATGGGCGGAGGCGGCGATTCGCGCGGATTTGCGGGTCCGCGCTGCGCATCTGTCGAGCTGCCCTGTCCGCTCTCCATGAGGATGGTGCCGCGCTCCTGGCCGTAGGCGGGCGGCGGTGCGAGGGTGCCTACCATCGGCGCAAGCCCCCACTTTTTGACGTTGGCCTCGATGAAGACGAAACCTGCCTGTCCGAGGTTGACGTGAATCTCGCAGGCGCCGTCGGCGCCGACGGTGGGGAAGAGGTTGTAGCGGTTGAGACCGATGAAGGCGTCTTCGAGGCGTTTGCCGTTGCGGGTGAAGAAGACGGTTCCGGTGCGTGGACGGTAGCCGATGCCGATGACGTCGCCCTGTCCGTAGGCGGGGCCGTAAGACTGGGCAGCGAAGGGGTAATTGTGGCACTTGAAGCCGTCTGCGGAAAAGTAGCCGATGGAATACTTGGACCAGCCGGGCAGGCGGAACTGCGGGTAAGGTTTTGTGGTGAGGCCGACGGCGACGTTGGTGGAGTCGGGTTTGTTGAACATCTTGACCTCCCAGTAGTAGACCTCGTTGATCTTGGGCAGGGGCAGGTTGCTCTGTACGCATACGCCGCCTCCCTCCTGTGGGGCCATGCCCTCGCCGTCTGCGATGAAGGTGATTTCGGTGCGTGCCTCGACAAAGACGGAGGGGTTGGACTCGTAGTCTGGGTCGAAGGACCAGGCGCTGACGCCCTTTTCCTGGATGCTGAGGAACTGACTGAGGGTGATGTCGGTGGAGAGGGTGCCTGGTGGATAGGCGAGGGCCCAGTCCTTTGCGCGACGGTAGCCGCGTTGGGTGGGGTCGTCGACGGACTCGAGCCAGCGCTGTTCGAGGCCGTCGAGGCCGCCTGTGCCTTCTAGTTCCTCTTCGCGGCCTACGTCGAGCGGGCCGTCGGAGTCGCCGAGCGAGATGCGAGCCCTGCGCCTGACGAGGATGACGAGGATGATGAAGAGAAGAAGGAGGAAGAGCAAGGTGGAAAGAAGAATGAGAAGCGGAAGGAGGAGAGCGAGCGTGTCGCCGGCGGTGGGTGGACGCTGGTAGATGGGTTCCTCGGGCAGACTGATGATGTCGAGCGGCTGGATGGTTGGGCTAGGATCCTGGGCATGGCCGAGCGACTTGAGCTGCTGGTTGAAGAGGCGCTCGCCGGACAAGCCGAACGGACGACGGAAGCGCGGCTTGGCTGGTGGGAGAGACAGATCGTAGGCATCGTCCATGATGCGGTCGCCGTCGGAGAAGGTGAGAAGGGCGTCCATGTCGAGGACGGACTGACGGAAGGGATGGCGAGCGTTTGAGGCAGCATTGAGCGGTTGGCTGGATCTAGAGGACGACGCTGGCGAGTCTAGAAAAGATATTGAATTGGATGAAGACGACGAGGGCGCCGAGCTGGAGCCAGGGCCGGGCTTGCTCGCCGGCATGAGAGGTGCTCGTACGTTGGCCATGGTGGTCAAAAGCGAGGTGCCAGCAGCACCATGTCCGGCCGAAGCGAGATAATGAAGGTGGAGTCGGCCGAGGTGACTTGGTGCAAGTACGATGCGGACCTGTGCGTAGTTGGGAGGATTGTGGTGCTGCGAATAGGAAGAGATAGTAGTGGCGGAGGATGGAGAGATGGAGGAGCGACGTTGGCGCTGTGTGTGTGTGGAGTGAGTGAGTGCGGGCGCGGCGAGCGTGACTGTGCTCTCGGGGCGGCGGATGCGGTGCGCTGAGCTGTGCAGTGCAGTGCAGTGCAGTGCAGCAAGGACTGCAGATCCAAAAGTGAACGGCAGCCAGCCCGCCCCTCTCTCGGCACGGCCGTGGACCGAGCAGAGCACCGCGAAATTGCCCCAAATTGGGCGCATCTCGGGCTGCTTCAATCCGTGCCTGGCAGCCGCGCGCATTTCTTTCGCCCTCTCTCTCTCTCTCTCGGGGCCCCCCTGAATCACGCCCGCTTAACATCGGGAGCCTTCCGTCCAAATTGTGATCCTATCTCCGTCTCAATCAGATCACAGTATGCCATTGCTCGAGACGGAAGAGCCGCTTGATTGATTGCTACCCAATGCCGAGACGAGAAAAAGCACGGCTGCACGGCTGCTGCTCGGCTGCATAAGCTGCGCTGTTCGTGGGCCGATCGGCTCGACCCCTTTTTTTGGCCGTCAGCCTCCCGATCCGGCGAGCCCAATCTCTCTTTCGAACCATCCGCCTCTCGATCCCCTTCGCGCTCGATGCGTGAGCCTGACTCAGCAGGCGTCCACCACCTCCTCCCCATCCCCGCTCTCCCTCTCTCTCCTCACCTCGCCTTGTCTGCTCCTCCATCCACCGCTGCCCTCTCGGTACTGCCGTGAAGCATCCCTACTCGCCGCCAGCGCGCATCGATCCCCTTCACCACCATCCCTGCATTCACAGCGCGCGTCCGTCCGTCACCGTCGCGTCTCGGAAAAAAAGTAACGCGTCGAGCAGGCCCGATATTTCCCTCGGCCCCCGCCTGCCCTCTGCATAACGGCAGCGACCCCCAACCCCAAAGCAACACAGTCAAGAAAGCGAGGAGCACGCTCAGCCCATGATGGATAGCACCAGCAGAAACGAGGCCAATGCGCCGCCCAACGACACCGACGCCGACGCCGAATTCAACTGTAAGTTGCGCCTGCATTTGGGTGACTGCGCATGACTAAGCATCTCCCCGCACCCGCAACGATCATGCTGACCTTTTGGTTTGATTGTAGCTTCCGAGTATACGCATAGCCATCTGGATCCTTCGCTCGGTCAGGGAGAGCACGACGCCAGCTCGACGGCGGCGGCGCAGGCCGACTCGACCGAGACCACCGAGACCAGCGAGCCTGCCGCTGCCGCTGCCGCAGCGGCACACGCAGGCGATGTGGGCCACGCCAAAGCCATGGAGGCGGTCATGCAGCTCGCACAGGCGGCGTCGCAGCAGCAGCAGTACGACCAGCAGCACGTCGAAGCTGACAACGTCGCCGACAACGACCAAGATGCCGCCGAGAAGCGGGGCGAGAAGCGCCGCCCATCGCACAGCAGCTCCACCGGTCGCGGCGGCAAGACGGCGCGTCACGATGAGTCGCACGTGGCTGCAGCTGCCGCTGCTGCCGCCGCCGCAGCAGCAGCGGGAGGCGACTCGAATCTGCCCTTCCCCGAGTCGTGGTCCGACGGCAACATCCCCGCCGAGATTCAGAAGGCGTATCAGCAGCATCTTGCGCACGGCTTTGGCGCGTCGGATGACCCTGCGTCTGCGTCGTCGAGTCCGGGTAAACCTGGGCGGCAACTGTCGACGTCGAAGCGTGCGGCGCAGAACCGGGCTGCGCAACGCGCGTTCCGCGAGCGCAGGGACAAGTACGTCCGCGTGCTCGAGAGCAAGGCGGCACGCCTCGAAGCGGCGGTACGCATCGCGACCGAGTGCAAGAGGCGATACGCCGATGCGGTCCAGACCATCGATGGGCTGAGGCTCGACAACCATACTCTGCGCGTCGCACTCGCCGCTCTGAGTGGGACGTCGGTGGATGTACCCGCACCGTCGGGCAAGGCGGATGAACTCATCGCCGCTCTGCCCGAGATTCCGCAAGTGACAACGCAGGAGGAGGAGAGCATTCTACAGGGCGCCCAGAGTCAGCTCTCGCAGGGCGCACAGAATTTGGACTCGCTCAGCACCGTCGCCGCAGCAGCTGCTGCGGCTGGTCAGGAGGAGAAGAGTGCAAGTGCTCCCGTGAGTCTGCCCCCTGTGCCCTCGGCGCAGCAGCCAGCAGGCGAGAACTCGACCCAGGAGGCCGAGGTAGCCACGCCGCCGACACAACCCGCTGCGAGCCAGTCCGCATAGTTGCGCGCAATGCACGCTCCAAGCTCCCCAACCATCCAGAGTGTGCCAATCCAGTATGTGCATAGCATTTATGAGAAGGGCATGCTTTTCTTCTTGTGCACGCCAGCTTGTCTTTCCGCCTCACCGACCACACGCCCTCATCGGCCGAGGTTGTATTCTCAGACGGACCTTGGCGTCAGACATGGGATTAGTGCTTGCGCTTGGTCTACAACGACACGGCGGCGGGGGTGGCGGGCTTAAAGTGGGTCTCGTGGCAAAAGTTGCAGCACACTCTCGGACCCGTTTCCACCTCGTCTTCATCCTTGACCCTCGTTTCGGCCGCCGGCAAGGGCCACCAAAACGGCGAGAAGCGCGTGCTGCACTTTGCGCACGACTTTTGCCTGCCCGGCTTCGGGGTTTCTACCTTGACTACGGTGGGAATGACGAGCGAGTCGTAGCGCTTGGCTCTGCGCAGAAGCGCATACGTCGTCTCACCCACGAGCGGATTCGTCCCCGCCGGTACAGCGAGATGCTTGTTGGTGCGCACAAACATCTGCAAACTCGTCAAGCCCGTCTTGGGATCCACCTCGGCAAGGTCGTAGAGCTTCTTGGTCTTGGCAAGTTCCTTGTGCTCCTTGCACCAAACCTGCGGAACCATGTGCCCCGATTCGCCCTTGAATGTCAGCGTGGCAATCACGTCGCGTCGCGTGCTTTTGACGGGGATGATCTCAAAGCCCAGCGTATACGCCGGCTGGTGATTGTGCGCACACGCCACGTGGAACGTCTTGCGACACAGCGGATCCGAGCACGACACAGACGCACCGCGCGCATCGTGGCAGATACTACACTCGGCTTCGTACCGCCACCCAGGCAAGTTGCCACAGCTCTCGACGAGCTTGAGCCGCGCAACGTCCGAGAACAGCACCTCAGGCATCCACACCGCACACAGCACGTGCGCCCAGTTGTTGCACTCGGTCGGCTTGAATGCATCCAATGCTCCCAGCGGCGCCTTGGCGGCCAAACCCGGCTCCTTTTTGAGCCCATCTGCGCCCGAATCGGGCACTGCCTTGGGTCGGCCGCGTGGCGCCTTTTCGCTGGTGGTCGAGAGCGCGTGCTTGGCCGAGATGGCCGCTGCCTCTTCCTGCGCCGCTGGCGAGCAGAGGATGCAGCGCGGCAGCAGCGCCGCCTCTTGCGTCGTCTCGTTGTTGCACGGATCGCACATCCACACGTCCATCTCGATCTCGTGGTCCGTGAGGCCATAGCAGCCCTGATGCACGCTCAGCGAGCACTGACGGCATTGGGCAAGCTTCTTCTTGGGCTCGATGCGCTTGCACATGACGCACTTGAGCGGCTCGGGTCGCGGCACCGAGGGCGGCGCC